AGAAGCTGAGATCAGTGTGTGCCACCTGCTGTGGATCTGTGCCCCACAGTTAGACTCCAAATCAGCCTCTGAAGGAAACACCAGTGAAGCTCGGGCACGATGAAGCGATCGTACTTTTATGGGGGTTTACAATTATTGGTTGTACAAGTATGAGGGTTATCGTGCACCTGCGCCTTAAAAAGCTACAAATATTAATGCTGATCACGTCTATCTGTGTGTCGTTGTTCTCTCACTGTGCTGTGTGTCTCTTACAGAAGGAATATCGGAAGGACTATGAGGAGCAGATGAAGGGCAAAGCCTTGGTGGACGTCGACCAGACGCCTGGATACCTGACAGCGCGCCATGCTAGCAGCCTGCTGAGCGAGGTGACGTAGCCTCAGAGGGATGAACTATTTAAAGCCACGTTAGAGGTTTGATCAAGCTGTGCTCAAACCTGGAAGAGCAGATAATCCATAATCCACTGATTTCCAACATCTTTTGGCTTGTGAAGCACTTGCATTGTGGATTTTGGTGATTGTTCCTTTTTCTGGTTTTTTCTTTTCATGTCTTTTATTATCTGAACGATTGAAAGACAAAATCAGTGAACCCACATATATTTGTTTTAAAGAGTTTTAATAAGAGGAGGAGCTAAATGTATCGACTATTTTGCTTATTTAAACAATATTTGGCAGATTCTAAGGAGAGAAGCAAAGAAATCAACACATTTTTAATCTATTTATGTGAAATGAAGCACTTCACAAAGAAAAAGAACAAACATTTGGCTTTAATCAATCAAGCATTACTTTTAAAAAAATCATTTACGTTTTCATTTTTAGTTTCCCTGTTTTTGCTTTTTTTTCGCTCCTTCCTTGCAGAAAGAGTACAAGAAGGACCTGGAGCAGGAGGTGAAGGGGCGGGGCTTATCTGGTGTTGGTCTTGAAGAGACACCTGAGCTGCTGAGGGTCAGAAAAGCCAATCAGATACTGAACCAGGTAAACTAAAAACACACACAGATTTCTGAAAGGTGTAAGTGGCCTGATCTGAACTGGAGTTCCAACTGTGGTGTTCACAGAAGGAGTACCGCAAAGATCTGGAGAGGGAGATTGTGGGGAAAGGCATGGAGCTGAGTGCTGATGTGCTGGAGATGCAAAGAGCCAAGAGAGCCTCACAGATCCAGAGCCAGGTTTGTGTCACTGGATTAAAGTAAATGGAAGTTCTTTCTCGGACATCTTATTCTTATAAAACATGCAGCCTGCGAACATTGAGCTGATGGTTTCTGTCTGCCTGATGCAGAAGTCGTACAAGCAGACGGAGCAGCTCAGAGAACACTCATACGGGTCGGTTACAGACACTCCTGAGCTGCTGCACGCCTCCTACCTCAAAGACGTCTACAGCCAGGTCTGTGTGTTAAAACAAGATGCTTTAAGTGAAACGACAAGTTCATCCCTCCAATCTAACCCCCCCACCTCCCCCGCCCCCCTCTCTGTAGAAGAAGTATAAAGACGAGGCGCAGCGACTGAAGGGACGCTACAGTCTGGTTTCTGAGACCCCCGAGATGGAGAGGGTCAAAGCCAACCAGAGACACGTCAGCTCTGTGAGTGCTCGGTGTCCCCACCATCTGTTCACTGTATTCCTGTTAATTATGATCAGTTAAAAGCTTTGAAGTTTTAGTTCCTGTGATTTTTATGTAGCTTCAGGACAATGAAACAGTGTAGTAAATGCACAAGATTGTTGTCATTTTTAATCTACTTTTTATTATTTTTATTGTTGCTCATAGTAACGTTTTCTTCTCATTTTAGTAATGATGACTTGGTGAGCACATGTTATTCTCTAAAAATGAAATTCATGAGTCATAAGCACAAATGTTTAGATCCCAGACTGCAGGCTTTGGGCACGTACACAGTAAAGTCTGTTCTTCGGTATTTTTCCATAAAAATCTTACACTACTGCCACAAACACCAAGAACAAAGTGTGCAAACGTAGGAACAGACATTGCATTTTCAGTCTACATTGATTGTATCGCTGCTATTTCAGAGATAAAACAATTCTTCGTTTCCAGGACTGGGATGAAGTTTATTAGCAAAGTTTTGCAGGGTCATTGTAGTCAGCAGTCACAGGCGGTGATATGTCTAAAAGGTTATACGACATAACTCTAAAGTGTTATTTACACACTTGTTACAGCAGCGTTTTCTTTCCTTTTAGCTGCGATACTGCTGGGACTCAAAGATGATGAGAAACCTGACGTCATCGGTCACAGAGACGCCAGAGATCGTCCTCGCCAGAGAGAACGCCAAGAAGATCAGTGACGTACGTTTACGGTTGGAATCAACAAACTTGTTTACTTGCTTCAGAAAAACAGTTTGCTTTTTTTATATGAGTGAATGTTAAGCTCAGAGAATCAATCTTCAGAACACTGAAGTAAAGTGTGTTTTTGAGTGGGAGTGGAGTTTAAGTAACCGCCACCAACAAGCAGCCTTTATAGCAGCAGATGCCTCACCTCCAGCTCTGTTCAGGTCCGGTACAGGGAGGAGGTGGGTTGTGGCACCGCAGTCATGGACACACCTGAGATGGAGCGAGTCCGACGTAACCAGGAGAACATCAGCTCAGTGAGTACGCAGACAGCGGCCTCACAAAGTGAGCAGGGCAGCAGTCAGCGAGTCGTGAGGTTCGTTTACACGGTCATGATGTGGGGATGAGGAGTGTGAGGACCGAGTGTGGCTCTGGGGCAGGAAGTCAGAGTGTGAGCGAGTCAGCTAATAGAACAGAACAATCATACATTCAGAGAGTGTCTCAAACACACTACCTACATGTTGGAGTCAGTGCTGGCTGACTGACAGCTTGTCCACTGCTCGAGTTAAATAAGCAGCTAATAACAGTAATAGTTTAGCACCACCTGATCTGGCTAACCTGATGACACCTGACCTGACATTTCTGATTTTGCCACCAGGTCAAATACAAGCAGAGTGCAGTGAAGGCCACCAGCGTTGGAGTGACTCCAGAGCTGGAGAGAGTCAAGCAAAACCAGGAGAACATCAGCTCGGCAAGACCCACACACACACACACACAC